GGCCCCTACACCATGGTCCTCAGCACTCCAACTGCCATCAAAATTGCTGGGAACCTGCCTGAGTTCATCATTCCCACTTCAAGCCAGTCCCAGCCTCCAAGGGTGATCGACCTACAGATAAGTGGACTGTTATCCCTCCCAGGGACCTCTTAAAGCTTAAGATTGTCAAATGTACCTAATAGTCTTGTTCATATGGGTACTCCCTTATGGAGACTTCAGGGACACATCTCATAATCCTTAATATGGCACTTAGAAGATAACTGATTACAATACCGGTGAGATGTTGACAACCAGTGCCACTGTCCACTAGATTTATGTGCTCTGCTAAATAAAATCCCAGTAGAAATTAGACAAAAGAGGGTAAAAGTAGGACAGTATGCTATACAGCACATCTGGCAGATTAAAAAAGACAAACTGGGCCTTTCAAAGACCTAAATAGTCATAAGAAGTTAAGAGTCCACTGGCTGGTACCTCTGCCCCTAGACACAAGAACCAGCTATTAACCTTGCCCATACTGGAATATCTAGATATTATCATTCCTAGAGATGTTCACAGTCTTTAGAGACAAAATACTTTTATAGATATTGGAATGGCAGGATCAATAGGTTTAGGAGTGTCCAGCTAGTAACTGGAGACCAAAATTATAGGTATTTGAGTGTACTTATCAACCAAGATCTAGCCACTCTTAGTGACTCCATCTCCAAGCTAAAAGATTCCTTGAGTTCCCTAGCTGAGATGGTTTTACAAAACTGATGGGGACTAGATATCCTATTCTTAAAAGAGGGCTTTAGGAGAAAACTGCTGCCTATGTGGCAGCCATTCTGAGGTCATCAGACAAAACATGGCAAGCCTTAAAAAGCAATTGCAAGAACAAGAACAAGCCAGGAAAGCCAAACAAAACTGGCTTGAATATTGGTTTTTCCTTGGTAAACAACTTTGGTAAAAACAGTCGCAGAGCCTTTGCTAATCATCCTTTTCTTTGTAACTATTGAAACTTGCGTTATAAACAAATTAGTAAACTATGTCAAACACAGAGTTCAAACTGTTAAATTAATGATACTAAGGACACAAGGCTATAGACAGATACCTCTAACTGAAGCCTCTTCCATGAGTCAATAATTTGACTCATTGGCCTAAATCAGTGAGGAATGTTACAACCTGGCTAAGGTGCCATCATCCTGTTCTGTAAGCCTTGCTACCCTGACCTGTGTTTCAACCTTTGTTTCTTGTGAATTACCCCCTTCCAGAACAGCAATTTGGTTCCGAAACCAGCTGACCCTTAGGTTATAAAACATCTGCTGGCCACTAATTATAAAACTCAGTCCTGGTCCCAAGATCATGTGGCCCTGGTTGTAAAACATTTTGCAGCAATTAACTCCCTTTTTGTATAAGCTAAAAGAGGAACATTAAAAAAAAAACTCAGCAAATAAGAATTTGAGTTAATCATCATCAGCTGGGGGCCACAGTATTTTCTATTCTGCTTCAAGTCTTCAGAAGCCTAAGACAAAAACAACCTTTTTGTCTTTAAAGCAACTGGACTCAGATACTCTGTTACAAGAGACAATGGACCAAGACATGCAGCAAATTTTAGACCTGCTAAATGTATGAGGCAAATATTATCAAACTAAAGGAAAAACAGTTCCCTTATATCAGCCAGTCTTCAATACTCTAGTAAATAATGGGGGGACAACTAGAAAATCAGCACAAAAAAAGAAGTTTCCTATTATGTAAAACTGAGTTAAAAATTATACATAGAACATACTAAAAATGGAATACACGTTGTTCTCAGCACATGGAACGTCAGAATAATCCACTGATACATAAAACAAGTCAACAAATTTTAGAAGACTAAAATAACAGAACTTACCTTACTGGAACCCTGCTGGAGACCACAAGCAGCTCAGAGCAGGATTTAAATTTAACTAATTGGCTTTCTATGTTTATCCGTGAGTCTGTCCTAAGCCTTAGCCCCTTGTCTGGCGATGGAAGCTATTCATACAAATTGAACCTCTATGAATCACTAGTCCTGGCTAAGGCCTGTAGTGGCCAGTGATAGCTCAAAGGGCAAGATAAGACCACAGCTGAAGACACCTTGGCTCCAACACTAATTAATAGAGACTATAGCTAAAGAAATTTCACTCCTGCAGTCGCCCTGCCTCCATAAATGTCATCTTAGAGATAGAACAGTTCTCCTAAATTGGCATAATTTACTATTTGGAGAAGTCTTTGAAATGACTCCCAAGGTCCTGCTCATTTTCCATGCTTTTCTCAGTTTCCTTGCCTTTTTTGTTCTTGGTCCTAATAAAAGTGGGCTGGTCCAGAAAAGTCTTTGTCTTAGCCCTGGGAGTCTCAAGCTTAACTAAATGGTTTTGACCCTCTTGGATCCCTAAAACCACCTAACTTGGCTCATTTTATTTAAATCTCTACCATACACTCATTTGGAAGATCAGGGATCTAGGTCAACATCTGATAGAACCGAGTGTAATAAAACTGAAAGTCAATGGCAGAAGGAAAAATGGCAAATTCACAGGTAAGTAGAAATAAAATGATACACTTTAAGCAATGGTAGATCAAAGAGGAAATCAGGGTACTAGGGGTAAATTGACTAAAACCAGTATAATCAAAGTCATGAATAGAGAAAAAGCACTCATGCCTCAAGAAGAGCAACATTCACTAGAAAAGGAATAACAAACCCTAAACTATAGAAAAATGGTAATAATAGTAAAAGTACAGAGAACAGAGCAGTAAAGCACAGTGTAATCAAAATTTGGTTTAAAGTTTTACCTATGTCCTCAGAGGAAAAGGGAGAAGACCCAAATAAATGAAAATAGAAATAATAGACATGTGATGGAAATAAAATATCTAGCAACTTTATTCCAACAAATTGTGTAACTAGATGTAAGTATAAAATGTGTGACCTGTACCAAGTTATCAAGAAACAAAATCTGAACAGTTGCATTACTAAGAAGGAGGCTGAATCAATGATCAACTGCTGTCAAACACCTTCAGTGAAGAATTACACTATACATTTTAGAATACTGATCTTTCTCATTGTCTTCCAAAAATCAGACCATTCAAAAAACCATCTAGGAAGCTGAGGCAGGAGGGTTACCACAAGTTCCAGGCTACCCAATCAGGTCCAGGCCAGCTTGGACTACATAACAAGCCTGTCTCAAAAGGAAAAACAGGTACCAATGACCAGCACTTATAGGAAAAACATTACTTATGGAGTGTGTACAACAAAAGTACACACTGGTCTTCCTATGTATATTGATATAAAACTCCTGTTAACACTTTAATGACAAAGCTTATTAAAAACTTCATACATAAGTACTATTTTTTCTGAATAAAATCAAACTTCAATACACATCATTTGATATATCACATTAATAAGAAAAAAAAAAAACATTTCATTGATACCACATAAGGAAACTAGTACAACATACAGAGTGCTATTTTTAAAAAGCACACACAACATTATGTTAAATGATCACAGACAAAATTTTTTCTCTAAGATTTGGAATAAGCAAACATGTTTGCATTTATCACCTTTGATCAACATAATAACTGAAAGTCCTAGCCACAGAAAAACAAAAGAGGTTTTCATGTTAGAAATAATTTATAGAAACTTTATATGATTTAAAGAAACTCTGTACCATTTTATTTTCCTTTTTGGAATCAACACATGCATGTGTACATGTATAATTATGACTACACGCTAAAATTACCTTTTCTGCTATTGGTAAAATCTTTTTCATATATTTATCAAATTTAATGTAGTCAAACTGGCTTAGAGACACAAAAAAGTAGTGACACTAAAAATCTATATTTTCAAATCTAGAAGTTTTCTGCATATCTTTGCCTACTAGGCCACTAGTGTTGGAGGCTTTTCTTAATTCTTTTGATGTATTTGAGGCAATTACTTCCTTCTTTTCTTCTACCATGATTGCATAATGTAAATTATAATTTTGTCAAGTATAAGGGAGGCATGACAGAAGAATAAAGTATACTTTCCTTACTCAACATTCAGATATTGGTCAATCCTGATTTATACTAAGCAACCAACTGCACTTCAAGGAATATCTACTAAGTAAGTTATAAAATAACTCAAAATTTTAGATCTCAGTTTGTTTTCTGCTTCATTTAAATCCACACACATGCTCAGACACAATATAGTACTACTTGTAGTAATTATATTCTCCAAAGGCATTTGCAAATACTGAACCACTATTTCTAGGGGAAACAAAGGATACAGTAAGCATATTCATCAATTAATCAGTATATAGGAACACTTGTAATTTACAGTTGTATTACCATGATTTCAATGTTAGTCAATAATATGTATTGAATAATGAATCTTTAAATAGAAACTTACATATTAATACAAAAAGAACTAAAAAAAAAATCAGACTTCCCAAATTTAAGACCTAATCCAAAAATGGGCATCTGAGATGAATATACACTTCTCAGATAAAGAAATACAAACAGAAAATAAATACATGAAAAACTCTTCAATGTCACTGCACATTTAAGAGATTAAATTTTAAAAACTGAGGTTTCACCTCACCCCAGAAAAAACGGCTTTCTTCAAGAAATCAACTAGTAACAAATGCTATAGGAGCTATGGGGAAAAAGGAACCCTTCTTCACTTTTGTGGGAATATAGACTACTACAAGATTTCTTAAAGTGTGGAGATTCCTTAAAGAGTAAAGACTGAAGGGCCCATTTGACACAGCTATGTTCCTTCCAGGTATCTTCCCAGAAGCATTAAATGCTTCCCAGAAGCATTGAAAAATGAGCAACAGAGTACAACTCAGACATAAACTCAAGACTTTTGTAAGTAAATAGATGTAACTAGAGATGATATTCACAAGTGAAATAAATCAGACTTGTATGACTAAAGACTATACTTTCATTGGCATGTATTTCTACTAATCTATGGGCAATACAAAACAAACCAGCCTCAAAGCTTTTTGATATTTAATTTAAAAAAAACTTACTTTTGGTGATCGAGGATCAGGCGAGTAGGCAAAGAGTTCACCTTCTGGTACGTGAATACTTGAGGAAACCAATTCACATGGACGTGTACCATTGTATATATGAAAACTACACTGAGGATTTAATGCCATAGCAAGTAGCTCTAGAAGTGGAAACCAGTCCTGGGACAACTTGACCACACAAAGCTCCACGAGGCGATGAGTATTGTTAATAATGCACTTCTGTTAAGTGGGAGAAGGAAAAAAAATGATATCCTTTACATAGAAAACTGCAATTTCAAGCATATTTTATTCCATTCATTTTAGTATTTTTTCCTTCATTTTCTGGTCATCTGATTGTGCTTAACTCAAAAATTCTGTGATCAAATGAATATTATGCAAAGAAAAATCAATATTTACTTCATTTTATAATTGTTCACCTAGTTGAAAAATTAATTTAAAAGGTTGTATATATAACAACTTTATGCCCAGAGGATACACATAGTACCAGCTTCTCTATCTAGAATTTGTTTCCTTGAGGAAATAATTCTAAAAGGTAGACATATAAAGTTAGGCCAATTACCCATGACAAAAGAAATTTGTAATTTAAACACAATTAGATAATCAAGTATCACTTTCAAGAAGCTATTATTTCTACAAGTCAGTTTAGGAGATGTAAACATTTATATGCAGGCAATAATCATTCTGGAAAATACCAAAGTATTCTTCAAAACTATGTATATTGGCTTCTAACTGAAAGGGTTTTGGCCCAGACAGGACTCTGTAGCCAGCAAAGCCTCAACCGGAACCAGGAAGCTCCTATCTTCCCTGCCCCTAGAAATTTACCACGCCACGTGTCCAATCTGCCAGAGATCGCTGGACTGGGGTGGGGGAGGGGGTCTCTCTCTCTTTGTGTTCTCAGAATAAAGGCCTTTTTGGTTTTATATTTCTCATCTTTTGAAAATAATCCTATCACTAACCTTTTCTGAGGGATGGAATGGGGGCTGGGGGTGCAGCTCTATAAGCTGAATTCAGGGCTTCACACTGTGCTGCATATGTAGGACATTTTACTTTTTGAGAAAGGATTTCACTCAATTTTCCAGACTGCACTTCAATTTATGATCCTCCTCAGTTTTCCAGTTGTGTGAAAACATCAACATCTCTAGCTGTTTCACAACTTTTACTAAGTAAAAAGATCAAAGATCTTTTGTAAAGACCAAAGATCTAATGTAATTACAATAACTCAAATACATTTTACTCTTATCTTTCTAACACGGAGGTCTCAAACTCAGTGGCAGTTTGGGTGTTAATTTTTGTTCTAAAGAAAAGGTAGGACCTTTTCACTTTTGCCAGTCACTTGACTATAACACATGGAGAACATTGTAAATTCAGTTTTATTTTTTTGGTATGAGGATAACGATAGTTTGAATTTATGGAAAAAAATGGTTAATGGCCTAGATTTCTAGGGAGAGTACTTTCCTTCTACAGTTTTAAGTTTTCTTGACATTTCTGCATAAACTGTACTTGCACTAAAATTACATACTTGGTATCCCAAATACACTAACAGTCTGCTATTACATTTTCTACCTAAAAGATTTTTCCTTCCAAATGTATAGGTTTAAAATTAACAGTAACACATATTTGCAATTCTTTTGTGCAGTGCTATAGACTTTTGTCAAGTGTTATAGACCACTTGAAATTCCAGTTAACAATTAAATTAGGGATTTATAGGTCAAATCTTATGTTCATTTTAATAGAAAATGCTTTCAATTCTACCATACCTATCAGCAGACTTAAATATACAGAAATCATCAAGTAAATTTGAGTAATAAAAATCACAAAACTTACCTGAATATCAAACTTCCAACCAGTCACTGCCTCATCCAAAAGAATTTTAGTGAAAGATACTGTTAGGCCATCTCGAAAAAAACGCTGGCATGCTTCACTCTTAACATCAAGACCTCAAGAAAAATTTTAAAAGAAACTAAAATAAGCATAAAGAAAACAATTATAGTATATTAGACAAAATAGCCAATTATATTATTAGGCACACATTGTCAGAAACTATTCTAAGTACCAATTCGTGAAAAATATTTTAACATTGGCAATGAGAACTTAAAAAGGTAGAAAAACATAGATTTCAGAGAGAGAATGAAATATACATAGTGAAATTTCAGAAACAGGAAATAGTACAAAACCACAATGGGAAAATTCAGATAAATGAGAAAGCTTCAAAAATAACTTCAAGTTACTCAGAGATACACCACTTCAAACTCTTAATCACAGAAACACACTTTAAAATTTAAAACCTAATTACAATTTTAAAAACTAATTATGTTAGGTTTTATCATCATCATCATCAAATTTATCATCAAATTTTAAATTTAATGTAAGGTAAACAAAAACTCATACGCTTTCACTCAAAACATTACTTTTAAAGAAATCTCAAAAGTTATTTACTCTTATCTTTCTCTTATCTGTACAATAAGGTGTGTTTTTCCTTTATTGTATTGTTTTCTCTTTTGGTTTTTTGAGATAGTTTTACTTTATAGTTCTGTCTGACCTCAAACTTGTGGCAATCTTCCCACCTCAGCCTCCTAAATACTATATTACAGGTATATACCATTAAATCCAGTTTTTACTTTGATTGCAAATATACTGGGGTATTATTTAAAACCTGAATTTTCCTTAAAAATAATTAACTCCCAGGTAGGCATGGTGACAATGTCTACAATCCTAGTATTCAGGGAGCTGAGCTTGGTGAGTTTCTGAATCCAAGCCCAACTTAGGCAGTTGAGACCCTTTCTCAAAATACTGAGTAACACACAAACAAAAAAGAAACAAGCAAACAAGCGTCATCTGTCACAGTAACCATAATCCCCAAAAAATCTATGAGGAAAATTCTCCATAATGATATATACCTATTGCCTATTAATGCTATTAAATATCATTTACAGGTTTGTACACTTTGTACTAAATTCCTAGTATCTAAGTCCCTGAGAATGGCTGTTTTAAGTAATTCCCATGTAAATTAACTAAAAGATTCATAAAGTGACACATTCTAATTTGGTAAAACATTTTTGTATGTCACTATTTTATTAAGGTCAATAATAAGGAACAGATCTTAGGTGACTAATATAATTATGATAAAGATAATTAGCGTTAAGGTAACTTTTTTTGGCGATGAAATCTACAGCAACATACCAACATCAGAACAAAAAAAGAGTAGTGACACTGATAGTTAATATACAACTTATTTCAAGTCTTTGTTTTATAACAAACTTATTTCAAGTCAGTGTTATATAACACAGATATTAAAATGCTGTGAGTGAACTTTTCATTTTAAGTTATCAGAGTTTTTAAAGAATCACATTTTAAAAATCACCTACTGGCTAACATAAATCTATTATACCCAATATTAAGACAACATCATCAAAATACTTTTACTTCAAAGTCATCAAAATACATCTTAAAGTTATGGGTTACAGCAAAAATACTGCATTTTCTTTACCTCTTTTTCTTAGGTAATCTTTTTTAAAAATAAGACCTGATCTTTTACAACTTGATGCTTTTTAAAAAATACTGTTTCTCTAATTTATTAAACACACAAACATACTAGTGAAATAATTTTCATTTGAAAATAATTCAAAATAGTAACTTTAAATGCTTTTTGCCGAAATTATTTATAAATAAACATTTGTCAAGAGCCTTAGGTTATCACCAAATTATGTATGAAGTCACATAACCATGTTTTTCTAACTTTTGGATAATGATTCCTTTGAAAATTTGATGAAACAATAGATCTTGCTATAAACATGAAAATATGTATAAATTTCTGCATAACATTTTAAAAGATAAACACAGTCTTACAAGGCTCTATGCAACCATTTCCATTAACAGTGTGTATATATATGTGAGTATAAAATAAGTTGTAGTACAATGATTAGTGATACATTACAAATTAAGAGTAACATTATAATATAGAAAAGCAAAGCTTTAAGGCAATAAGTATATGCAATAACATAGCATAGGTTATGAAAAGGTACAAATTTACCTTTCTTACTAAGATCAATAGCAGCTTCCAAAAGCACTTCTAATTCTCCTTTTGGCAAAACAGGAACCAACCACTGAGGTCTAAAAATTATTATAAAATAAAAAGATGGTTTACCAGCCGACCACTAGTCAAATACAACAAATACAACCACTTTCACTACAAAAAAGTAAAAAAAAAAAAAAAAAAAACAAAAAAAAAACACCTTACATCTATTTTTTAAAAGGAAACTCACAAATTATTTCTTTATTGGAATTAAGAAACACATTTCAGTCTCATAAGGAATTTTTTTAATGGAGAAAAGTAAAAAGTCAACAAAATAATAGAAGAATAGCAACAATTAACATATTATATGTTATCTTTAATCAGAATACAAGATATGGACATAAAAACATCTTCAAATGATACTAGCACGACCTTTGTTGGGAGCCGCAGCCCCGAGCCCGGTCGCCTCACTTGGCGGACGTGAGGCCTGTAGTAAAGAGTAAAGCCTGAGGTAGATTACCCCTCCCATCGAGCACGTTAGTTTCCTGCTTACCGCGTAAGCAACCCGCTCAACAATATAGTCTGCCTGGCAACTGATGATGTTAGCCAATCAGCTTGCCTTGCTTACTTTAACATGATTGGACACTGTATCCGTATATATACTGGTGCCACCCCTGGGGGAGAAGAAGAAGCCCGGAAGTAGAAGCCCAGAAGGAGCCGCGGGGAGCGGACCAAAGGAGGCTTCGGCTGGGAGCGATCCCAGGGCAGGCTGTACGGAGAGGAAAATAAAAGAAAAGGTTGTCCACTGCCAGACTTTGTCGTGTGTCCTTCCTGCCGGCCGGGAGCGACATCGACATTTGGAGGCCCGCACGGGGACTGATCACCCCCGAGACGTGACAGCGGACAACGCTCCAGTACAGAGCTGCGAGACAGGTGAGTTGGGGATAAGCCTGGGCTCTGGGTGGCGCGCACCTACAGGGCTTTTAGACTCCCCTCAGGCTCACGCGTAAGTGGCGGATTCCTTGGGCCTCACGCGGTGAGTAACATATTAAAAGATGGGAAACATGCTAGGTAGCAACACTAAGAGCGAGGGTGGTTGTGGAGAAAGCTCTCAAGAGCTTACAAAAGTACGCAGGGTATTTGAGCAGGCCCAGTCAGGGAGCTCCCGAGAGGGGCCCGTCAAGGGGAACAAAGATGCTAAGGAGAAGGACGGGGCTCTAGCCTCGGAGTCGTCTGACTCCGAGGACGAGGGAAAGTTGAATGGCAAGGAGGCCAAAGAGACCAGCTGTCAGGAGCCTAAGTCGCTCGATAAGGAGTCGCAGGGTTCTTTCCCAGCATTGCGCCGTGAATTGCGCTCCGCTCAACTTGGTCTGCGGAGGAGTAGAGAGCTCCTGAGCGCTCCCCGGTGCGAGAGGGAGGCGAAGCCTTCCGCCCCACCTTGGGGGCTGTTCCCGGAGGCGATCCCTCGCCGCGAGGCGGCTGCCCGGGAGCTCCCTTCCCCTTCGCCAGAACAGGAAGTGATGCACGGGCCCCCATTTTCCGCCCAATCACGGCCGCCGTCTTATGCTCCGCCGCCGGCGGGTCGGTATTTTTACAGGCGGCTATGGCAGGGGGGACGTTTGTCTCATGAGGTACATCCACCACCTGGGATAGATAGTGGCCCCTACGGGATATTTCCTGTACAAGTAGCTATGGGCCAGGGACGTAATGCATGGGAGCCTTTTGAGATAAAGCAGATTAGAGAACTTAAAAATGCAGTTACAACCTTTGGGCCGACTGCGCCTTACACCATTGCCATGCTGGAGAACCTGTCTTCTGGGCCCCTCACCCCCGCGGACTGGATTCAGCTGGCAAAGGCGTGTCTGCCCTCGGGTAGTTACCTGGATTGGCGAGCCTGGTACGCAGAGTTCTCTGCAGAGCAGGCTGAGAGAAACGCCAGTCGGGGAAACCGGGGGTGGAACAAGGAAATGCTTATGGGAGAAGGTCGGCACGCTGATGATCAGACTCAGTTCCCCGGCGCTGTCTATGAACAAATCAATGCCATAGGGCTCCGCGCCTGGAAGCAGGTAAGTGGTGCCGGAACAGCTTCCTTGTGTCTTTCAAAAATAATTCAGGGTACCACAGAGCCATTTGTTGACTTTGTGGCCCGAATGCAAGATGCTGCCGATAAGATATTTTCTGATCCGGGAGTGGCTCGACCGCTGGTAAGGCAGCTGATTTTTGAGCAATGTACAAAGGAGTGCAAGGCAGCGATAGCTCCTCATAAGAACAAGGACCTCAACGCCTGGATTAGGATATGCAGAGAGATAGGGGGGCCGCTCTCCAACTCGGGAGTGGCTGCTCTCCTGGCCGTGGCTGTACAGCAGAGGGGACCTCGCGGGTTAGAAGGGGAATGTAAGGCTAAAGGGTGTTTTGCCTGCGGGGAGCCAGGACACATTAAACGTCATTGCCCAAACAATGCAGATGCTAGGCCTCGCCCTAGGAATGAAGAACCATATGTTTGTGGGCGATGCAAGAGGGGATCACACAAAGCTGAGGAGTGTAGGTCGGTCTTTGATGCTCAGGGCAACCATATTTGTGGACGAGATGCTAGAGAGCCAAAAAACGGCCAGAGGGGGCCCCCTTCACAGGCGGGCCCCCGCCCCAGAGACAGGACAGCTCAGGATGGCAGCCTTCAACAAGGGCCACCCCTGGGTCAGCAGGTGTGGACCTCAGTGTCGCCTCCAGACTTATATTAGTGCCTGATATGGGTGTTCAAGTGGTTGAAACCACCTTTAAGGGACCGTTACCCGAAAATTCCGTGGGTCTGGTGATTGGGAGATCCTCCACGGCCCTTCGGGGTCTCATAGTAGTCCCGGGGGTCATAGACTCAGACTACACAGGACACATTAAAATTATGGTTCAATCTCTTGTGGGTACTATGGTAATCAATAAAGGAGACAAGATAGCGCAGCTCTTGCTGCTCCCCAGTCTCCACAAGAGATTCCCCTCAAAGCAGAAAATTAGAGAAAGTCAAGGTTTCGGTTCCTCAGGGGAAGTCTTCGAGGGACTCCATATAATACTTGATAAAAGGCCCATGCTCTCACTTAAGGTCAATGGCAAGAATATAACAGGGCTCCTAGACACAGGAGCTGACCGTTCCATTATCTCTAGAAAGGATTGGCCCTCCAACTGGCCCACCAACACTGCAGATAACACGCTGCAGGGCCTGGGGATGGTGTCAGCTCCTCAGGTTAGTGCTTCAACCCTGCTCTGGTGTGATGAGGAGGGTCATCAGGGCCATTTCCAACCATTTGTGTTGCAGTTGCCAGTGTCTCTATGGGGAAGGGACATCCTCACTCAGATGGATGTCACGCTTACGTCAAACTGCTCCCCCCAGGCTAAGGATATACTCAGGAACCAGGGATATACCCCCGGCAAAGGCTTGGGCAATGCCCTACAGGGTCGGACATCCCCAATACCAGTAGAGAACAAAAAAGGTAGGCAAGGGCTGGGTTTTTCTTAGGGGCCGCTGAAGAAGCTCTCCTACCCACTTCGATCAAAATCACCTGGAGGTCAAATGATCCGGTTTGGGTACCTCAGTGGCCCCTGCCTAAGGAGAAGCTATTAGCCTTGTCAGAAATAGTCAGTACACAACTTAGATTAGGACACATTAAGCCGTCAACCTCCCCATGGAACACCCCCATTTTTATAATTAAGAAAAAGTCTGGCAAGTGGAGGCTGCTCCATGATCTAAGGGCGGTCAACGCGCAGATGCAGTCCCTGGGGGCGGTCCAGAGGGGGCTGCCAGCTCTCTCAGCCATCCCTCAGTCCTGGCCAGTTTATGTTATAGATCTTAGAGACTGTTTCTTCTCAATCCCCCTGCATCCAGAGGACACTCATAGGTTCGCCTTTACTTTACCCACCATTAACCAAGAAAGCCCTGATCTCAGATACGAGTGGATAACGCTGCCCCAAGGTATGGCCAACAGTCCCACTATGTGTCAGATTTACCTTGATTCCCTACTGGCCCCCCTACGGAAATCCTTTCCCAAGATAAGATGTGTGCATTACATGGACGACCTTTTACTCAGCGGCAGGGACCCAGACATGCTAAATAATATGCTCGGCCAGTTGGTCGAGGCCCTGAGACAAGCTAATCTGCATGTTGCCCCCGACAAGATTCAGGGAGGAGAAATGGTGACCTACTTAGGCGCGAAAATCTCCCCTATGCTAGTCTCTCCACAGAAGGTCACCATTAGGACGGATGGCGTTAAGACCCTAAATGACATGCAAAAGCTATTGGGAGACATTAATTGGATTAGGCCATATTTACATATACCAAATTCAGATCTCAAACCCCTGTTCGACCTTCTAAAGGGAGACCCAGATATAGCCTCCCACAGGAGGCTCACTCCTGAGGCAAGAGCTGCCTTACAGAGAGTGAAAAAAGCCTTAGGTGGGGCTACCTTACACAGAATTGAACCAGGGCGACCCTTTGATGTCTGTTTGCTACAGACTAGTCTACAGCCCACAGCGGTGATTTGGCAGAAAGGACCATTACTGTGGATACACCCTAAGGTCTCACCTGCAAAAGTCATAGAGCATTACCCGGAAGCAGTCGCTTCATTGGCCCTTGAAGCGCATGATAGAGCTGTCCAACATTTTGGCTCAGGACCACAAGCCATCCAAGTACCCTATACCGCCAGCCAGATCAAGACCCTGGCTGCCTGCATAGATACGTGGGCCATTTTGAGATGTGTTTTCCATGGGGATATAAACAATCAATACCCTAAAGACCCTATCTTGTCATTTGTCACTCAGCACCCTATAATTTTTCCAAAGGTTACTGCCTCTGAGCCATTAGTCCCAGCAACTACAATATACACAGATGGCTCCAAGACGGGGATAGGCGCCTATGTGATCCTAGGCAAGCCCCCGGTTACCATACAATTTGAACCTGATCAGCCTCAGGTGGTGGAACTGCAGATCGTTAAAATGATTCTTGAACGGTTCTCAGAAGCCATTAATATTGTCTCCGATTCTAGGTATGTGGTCAATGCTATGCAAGTGCTTGAGACTGCCGGTTTAATTAGATCCACTTCCACAGTGGCTGGGCTGTTCCTGTCTATCCAGACATTGCTTCAGAACAGACACCATAAGGTCTTCACCACCCACATAAGAGCACATACATCCCTGCCGGGGCCCATGGCACAGGGGAATGCGGCTGCTGATACTGCCACTCGCCCGTTATGGATTTTTACCTTACTAACACCAATCGAGCGAGCCCGTGCCTTCCATAATAAGTTTCATGTCAATGCCAGGACACTAGCAAACCATTTCCATGTTTCCAGAGCAGATGCACGAGATATCGTGCGACTATGTGACTCCTGTGCCACATACAAACCTGCCATACCGATGGGAGTAAACCCTCGAGGTTTGATCCCTGGTGATGTTTGGCAGATGGACATCACACATATACAGGAGTTTGGGACTCTTAAATATGTTCATGTTTCCACAGACACCTGTTCTCACGTCATATTCGCAACAGCAGAAACAGGTGAAAAAGTGTCTAATGTGATCAATCATTGCCTGGCGGCTTGGGCCGCATGGGGCAAACCAAAAATATTAAAAACTGATAATGGACCAGCCTATATAGGCAAAGCCTTCAATGAGTTCTGCAAAATGATGGAGGTTCAATTAAAACATGGTATCCCATACAATCCCCAAGGTCAAGGAATCATTGAGAGGGCTCATAGAAGCCTCAAAGAAATTTTACAAAAACAAAAAGGGGGAGTAGGCCAAGGCCTGGCCCCAAAGGCACGATTATCCATGGCACTATTCACACACAATTTTTTAAATTTAAATAATGATAATTGCTCCCCAGCCGTGGAGCACTGCAACCATTCCCCCAACCATAAAGGGTGGGTGAAGTGGAAAGATGTCCTGACAGGACAATGGATGGGCCCGGATCCAGTGGTCAGCTGGAACCGAGGCGCGGTTTGTGTTTTCCCACAGGAATCGGGACGAGAACCACTGTGGGTACCGGAGAGACTGACACGGGCGACAAAGCCCTCGACTGAAGATCAGACCTGCCCTACCGGAGATCCATCACAGACCAACCAACAAGATGAATAGAAATAGCGGTAGCCCGAAATGGACAAAAAGATCCTCAGGCATATGCATGGCTCGCTCGCCTAGCCTACGACCGAGTCTAGGGACGGTGAGCTTCCCACACTCCTCCTCTAAAAAATTATGACATAGCTGGGTAGGAGAGTCAATGACGGGTAAGAGCGTACTCCCCCGGTGCGACTCAACCTAAGCCAGGCCCTACCCCATCCTGCACGTAAGCCGCTGGACTGTTAGATGCTGCCCAGGTCTAAATTTCTCTCCGAGGGGATTTCTTTACGGAGAGGAAATGAGTGCAAGCTTGTGTGCATCCAGGTTCCGTCCAGTTTGTGCCTGGCCCTAGAAAAAGGACGAGGGCCTCAGGGCCTTGGCGGACCATGGGACGGCCGACCAGGGTCTAAGCCAAGGACCTACGGTGGGCCTACGCATAGGGCATAAGCCTCTGCACCCAGTCCAGGAAGGGCTACGATGCGCACATTCATAAAAAATAAAAAAGGGGGAGATGTTGGGAGCCGCAGCCCTGAGCCCGGTCGCCTCACTTGGCAGACGTGAGGCCTGTAGTAAAGAGTAAAGCCTGAGGTAGATTACCCCTCCCATCGAGCACGTTAGTTTCCTGCTTACCGCGTAAGCAACCCGCTCAACAATATAGTCTGCCTGGCAACTGATGATGTTAGCCAATCAGCTTGCCTTGCTTACTTTAACATGATTGGACACTGTATCCGTATATATACTGGTGCCACCCCTGGGGGAGAAGAAGAAGCCCGGAAGTAGAAGCCCAGAAGGAGCCGCGGGGAGCGGACCAAAGGAGGCTTCGGCTGGGAGCGATCCCAGGGCAGGCTGTACGGAGAGGAAAATAAAAGAAAAGGTTGTCCACTGCCAGACTTTGTCGTGTGTCCTTCCTGCCGGCCGGGAGCGACATCGACAGACCTTCCTTTTCTTTTTTCTTTTTTGTCTTTTTCCTTTTTATCGGTATCGAGGATCTAACTCACGAATGCCTGCTTACAAGGCAGGTGCTTATGCTGCTGAGCTAAATCCCCAGCCCTAACCTTTCTTTTCAATGAACTAGATAAGCTAGTAGTACAATTATCTTTTTTTTTTCTTTTTTCCTTCCTTCCTTTCTCCCTAGCTCCTTTTTCATTTTGAATAATTTCTTCTTGTTTCACAAAAATCTATTTGCATTTTGGACCCTATTCACTCTTTCAGTTCCTCAAAACAGGGAAACAATACAATGTTTACAAATGTGAGTCTCACCAGCCTTTGTTATTGGTTGATTTCTGGATGATAGTTGTTATTTCTTGAGTGAGATGGAATCTCAGTATTGTTTTAGTTTGCACTTCTGAATGACCAAATGACATTGAACATTTTTTATATATTTTTCATTATTTATACATTTCAGATATAAGCCCTTTGTCTAAAAGACACTGGCTATAAATTTTTTTCTACTCTGAGTTTTTTTTTTTTCACTTCGTTGGTTTTTTTTTTTTTAACATATATAACACTGTGCCTACTCCTATCTTCAAGATTTCCACCTATATTTTCTTACAGTAGATTTGGTGTTTCTATTTTTATACTTAGATCTTTGGTCCATTTTGACTTTAGTACATGGTGATAAAAGTCTAGTTTTCCAAAGGAATTTTTAAAGCATCACCAAGTGAAACAAAGTTTTATCCATTAACAGTAAAGTATTTCTTTTAAGTTCAGAATTAATAGGAAGAAGAAACAATGTGAGAAACTTATTTTGTTTCAAGAAGACAAAAGCTAAATGACTAACATCGATTTCTCCTTTACTTAATCTCGAGACATTCACCAATTTTTCCATGGACCACTAAGCTTATTTTCATAAATTCCTATGTTCAAAAGCAATGCTAGTAGACCATAAATCATTACACAGTTTTTCTGCATTAAAACCTGATGCAAATACTATCATGTTATAAGTGTTTCTTTCTTGAGTTTCATAAAAAGTTCAGGTATCTAGACATACCCAGGATCCACTTACTATTCCCCATGAAAATTTTCTTCCAGAATAAATGAATACTAAAATTTTTAAATGGGGCAGGAAGTGAGAAAAAAAGAGTTATATATACAGATATAAATTTCATATGATGAATATGATTTAATTATGTACTGCAAATAATATACTAATAAAATTTCAAAAAGCTCTGTCTATATTCCTTTGTTAGCATATTGTGAGACAATGAAATCAACAAGTACCAGTTTTATTAGAAAAGTTACCTGATTACAAATGATGTTTGGAGAAACATGATATGCTTGTGCACATCTATAATCTCAGCACCCAGGAGGCTGGGGCAGGAGGATCACTATGAAAATGAGATCAGCCTAGGCTATATAGTCAGAGTCTGTTTCAAAAAACCCCGAAACCAAACCAATCCAAACCAAATCAAAACTTGCCCCTAAAAAACAAATCTCTGAGGTAAACAAATATGTTTTTGTTTCTTGGTTTACACAAAACATTTCACCCGTAACCGTCTACCAGTCCTTATGAAAAATAAAAACAAATAAAATTCAGCAACACCAGAATTAAACAGTAAAAACAAAAATATAACCTTTGGGTAACAATATCTTGATATACAGAAAATAAACATTCCACAAGTTAGAAAAGTCCTTTAAAAAACTTTGCTATGAAGAACATACAAAAGAGATATGAAATACAAATCTAGCCTAGAAATACACAAATAGATTGTATGCCATAATAATTTTGGAATTGTTTTATACTGTCATGACCTGTTAATTTTTCTAATTCATAAAAGTATTTGCACTAAGAAAATCAATTATAAAATACTTGGCTATACTTGGTCTAGTAATAAAGTTAACAGTTTTAGAACAACAGTGTCTACTCGTTTTTCTTAATATTGATTGGAATGGTGATTTTGAGAGGTCTTTCCACTTCATTACAAAAAAAAAAAAAAAAATACCTGTTGATCATGTCATCCAATTTTGCAAGATCAGTATAGGGAAAACTAGGTTCCTCATCTTCAGGCCATGTCGGAGCATCACCTTGACCATATTCTGGAGGAGTTGCTGGAAAATTCTCATTAAAAGAACCAGGAGACAAGGTCTTAACTAAAATGAAATATCCCAAACTCAAATTTCTATAATGTATATACATCTGCAATTCATACATCAGGAAACATTATGTGGAAATACATATTTTTAATTAATCTGTATTTATATTAATGTATTTAATAAAACTGAGGTAGCACTGCTACTCCCTATCCCTTTTACATCACCATGGAAATATTTTTCCCGAGATAAGGAGGAGGTATTTATGTATTACAGTATGAATTAATACCAAATTAAAACATAAATTACAAATCTTTAGGATAAGCTTCAAATAACCTTTTTAGATATCAACCAAGCAATAAAGTAATTAAGTTAACAGGATAAACCTCTCCGAGAGATATAGGATATAAGCTCCTCTCCACCACACACAGGTATACACATATACACTCTTAAAGCAACTGGAGGAGGCTGAAGCAGCAGGATCTTTGCAAGTTCAAGACTAACCTGGGCTACAAAGTGAGCCCAAGACTAGCCTGAACTGCATAGTGAGATCCTGATCCAAAAAGACCAAAGGGGGGAAAAAAAACCCACAAAAAACAACTGATATATATTAGTAAATTTTACACTAATAAGTAGGTGTTAAATATTCCATCAAAATGAATTAAGATAAAAACACAAAATACAACTACACACACAAACTACACAAGATAACAAACACAATTTACATCCAAGGACTCAAAGGAAAAAGAAAATAAAAGGATAGGAACTATCCTAACATGTTAGGGTTTTAGATGGGATCCTTTCTCTATTAGAGAGGCTTTCTGCCCAAAGTCCCTTTTAACACTTTTCAGCTACAAACTTGAAGACATACTAATAGGCAAAAAGCAAATTTAAGAAAAAAAGTTAAGCATCAAAATCAGACTCAGGACAACTATTTGGAAGAAAACAAGAGACAATATGATAGACAGTGAAGATCTCCAGTGGCCTTGCTTTGATCTGTGTTTCTTAAAATTGTTTCCTTCTGATCTGTTTTGTTTTGTTTGGTTTTGTTGTTTAATTTTACCCTCTTTAAAATAAAAAAATAAATAAATAAATCAGGCTCAGAAGAGCAGGAATGTTAGATTTATCAGAGAAAATTATTATCAATAAGGTAAGAATCCCACTGGATAGAAGACATGGTAAGACAAAAGATGAGAAATAAAAGCAAAGACATAATAATTCTACATAAGGATCAAAATCAAATGCTATAAATAAAGTAACAAGAATGAAGGATATTCCTGATTGACTCATTTATTGGACTTTCAGAAATGCAAAAAGGAAAACTAGTTAAGTAAAAATACAACAAAATATCTAAGAAGTATAAACCAACTACAAAAAGTACAGCACAGGCCAAGTTTACATGGCTGTAATCCCAGCACTTGGGAGGCTGAGGCAGGAGGACTGCTATGAGTCTGAGGCCACCCTGGGCTACAGAGTGGTTTTAAGGTCAGTCTATACCACATTGTGATCAAAAAGATCACTCTCCCAACTAAAAAGAAAGAATGAAGCAAATGAACCCACCCAAATAGCAGCAACTTACCCAAATTTTTATATTTGCTGGTTTCAGTTACCTAAGTCAATTTTGATCTAAAAATGATAAAGAGAAAAAACCAGAAACACAATGCCTTAATTTTTTATTATGGGGTTTTCTCCGTAGCATGATTCAAGCATCACACAACCTCCTGCCTTGACAGTTTTTGGTGTAGTCATGACTTACATGTTTATTGCTAGTCAGTCACTTAGTAACTGTTCCTGTTATTAGATCATCCATTTTGATATTATGTTATTTTGTTTATAAAGTATATACACTATTATCATCACATTATTTGAAGTGGATTTACGGATTATAAATGTATACTGTAAACTCCAGAACAACATTTAAAAGAAAAATCAAAAATGAGTATATACTAACAAAAGAGGAAAAAGCAATAAATGAGGGAAGCATAAGTAGCACATACCGGATATACTGCAAAATTAAAAAAAAAATTGGAAATCAATTAATCAATAATCTAATTTCCATCTGGGGAAAGCAGGAAAAAAGAACTAGTAAAATGACATCAAATTCCAAGAAGCAAAATGAATGAATTAGTAAGATAGAAGAAAGAATATTACTTATAAATGGGAGAAACATCAAGGCAAAGTTTAATGGAATTTTCTAAAATTTCTACTTCAGGAAACAGAAAAATAGTTTGTGCCTATAAGTCAATGAATAAACACCACCCTGAATGCACCCAATCTCATCCAATTAAGTCAGTGTATAACTCTGATACTAAAATCTATATTAATGCTTTAAAATATTAATTATCTTCATTTTACAAATAGGAAAACTGAAGATTCAGTACTTTATCATACAAAGATGATACTTAACAAACTACTAATATAAGCATACTACTAATATAAGCATACACTTTTAACCAAAATAGTAATGATTAACTTAATACTTTGGCTCTTGGATTCATATAGCTATTTAGATTAAAAACAAAAGCCAGGACTCATGATTCTTCAACAAGTGATAACTAAGGTTTCCTATTACTAATATTCAGGTCATATCCTTAAAAATATTACTTAAAATAATAAATTTTATAAATAAAAATAATTCACAGCATACTCCATCATCTCATATTCCACAATGCCTAAAACAACAGAAATTCAATTGTACCTGGTTTGCCTGGAAAGGAGGCTGAGATTGTCCATCAGGAGCCTGGCCACAGTTGTCATTCCCTCCCACCGGAGAACCACCAGTTGTGGCTGTCATGCTCATCAAAGAACAGGTTTTGTCAATTTGTTTATGTAACTCCTAAGAGAAAAAATTAATCCCCACTTATGAAAGATGAAGTACTAGCATACAATAGTCCTAAACATCTTCAATTCATAGACACATTATCCTTGAGAGATCATTTCATAATCTTAAAGTGGATGAGAGCGTAACTGCATCAGATATTAAAAAGATGAATAATAAATTATTCCAATTTTAACTTTTATAGAAATATCACTCTTCACAGTTAATAATACACTATATATAAAACAGAAATCAAAAGTTAAAATTATAATACTCTTACCCATACTAATTTCATATTATAGCACAAATGGTTATATTACAAAAACACATTGTCTCAGTGCCTGCTTGGCAAGTATAAGATATTAAGTTTGACTCCTGGGAGCCACAAAATATACAAAAAAAAAAAAAAAAGAAGAAACAAAAGAAAAGGAAACAAATCCTATTGACAGCTCTTTAGGGCAGTCATCAATATATCTTAGGAATCCTATTGGGGCTACAGGCTATGTAGATTTATGGTGGGTATTTTTTGCTAGTTGACAGCCCAGGAGTATAGGTAAAAAGTATAGGTAAAAATCCTTTATGTCCTTTTATATGTACATAAACAGAAATACACAACGGAGAAAAAAGATTTGTCCACTTAAGTATTAGCTAACATACTGGAATTCTACTTTAGGAAAGTGCAGTTCCAGAGTAATGTTAAATTGCAAGGACAAACGTAAAACACCCCAAGACAAACACCCTACACAACTCTTCAAATTAAACATATTTTGACACAATTATAACTACGAAGTATCCATAAAAGATACCCAAAATAAGCTGAAAGGAGGCGCAAAAGAAAGGAAAAGCATTATCAAAAAAACTTCTAACATAAAACACAAGGAAGACACAGAAAATAAGAACCCCTCAAAAGCCACAAATGTATAGAAAATAAATAATTCGATGGCAATAGTAAATCTATTTCAATCAGTAAGTACTTTAAATGTAAACAAATTAAAATCCCTAGGCAAAAAAAGTAGGCAGGCCAAATGAATAAATAAGATTCAACAACACCTGCTACCACATCACAGCATGACATATGAACTGGGCTACAAATCATATACAAATAATGAAAGGAACATATGCCAGACAAAAAAAGGAAACAAGAGTAAGAATTAAAAAGGGTTAGGGATTTAGCTCAGCAGCATAAGCACCTGCTTGGCAAGCACAAGGCTGCAAGTTCAATACGTGGTACCAAAAAAAAGCATTACTAAACATATTGTAAGAATGACAGTAAAAGAAAGTCAGGTTAGAGCATCCACATGAATTGAGGCCAGTTCAATTAGATGAGCAAATGATAATCACAGCAAATTTGACTCCATTGTAGTGGAACTGAGAATGTTATGAGGTTAATGGTATTTGAAAAAAGAAACCAGAAGACAAAAGCAACCTGAGGTTATATCTAGTAAAAGGAATCAAAGAAGTTTTCCGTAACTGTTTCACAAATGTAAATCAGTATACTCAGCCTATTCTAAGTATTACTAAATAGCCTTCCAATAAAGTGGTTCAGTGTCAAGTATGAGGTATTTATGAGGCTCAGACAACAACACCTTCTTGTATCTCAGCAAGAAACACATGAAGGGATTGTTCCATTAGAATTCTCTGACAGTCCCATTTCTATTCAGCTTACCAGCAAGTCCAATCTACTAATCATTCTAGCTACAAGACTTGAGTCTAATATGAAAAGTATACAAAAGATGAGACAGACTAGGATATCTCAATCTTAATGTTTACATTTAGGACCATATAACAAATTAGAAGGGAATACTCTGCAATTTAAGGAACTCAATACATCTATGGCCTCTGTGACAAACTATCACCTGATCTTACAATCCAAAATGTCTCCAGACACCATGAGATGTCCAATAACAGGACAAACTAAGTCTAACTCAAGATGCTGTACTAGACTGTGAGAATACCCCCCAAAAGGCAAAATGATCATTTTTTACTAGTTACTCCACTCACTGACTCTGTTACACAGAATACAATAAGTATATTGATAAATACGATTGAGACTTATCACAACAGTAACCTTAATAGTTAAATATATTCTGCATCACTGATAACAAAATAGATAACATATCGTGATAGAACAATATACTTCATTTTAGAAGATCTGAAGATTAATAACTAAGATCTGAAGATTAATAACATCTGAAGATTAATAACTAAGTATCATAAAATATTATAAGCATGAGCTGCTAAAGTGGCCTACAAAATTTTCATGTTATTTATATTTTATCTGTTATTCTTTAGATCTAGAATATCCCCCAAAAGCCTCCTGAGTTCAGAGTGGGGGCTTTAAGAAGGTAAACTGGGTCATAGGATTAATGAACTGATGAATTCTTAGCTAAAAAGAGTTGGGGACTGGTGAGAAGAGGAATGATCCCTACTTGATGTCTGACCTAAAAGGGTTCATCACACTCCTTAATTATTCCTTCCTGTTTCCTGATTGCCATATCAACAGTAGCTTTTCAAGTACCATGTTCCTCTGATAGGAACTGTTTTTGCCTTGGAGAGCTCCCATAGACTGAAAGCCAAGGCAAACTTCTCCTTTAAGTTGTGGGTATCTCATAATATGTCTAAGAACTCTTTTTCATGACGCAAGTTGCTATTTTGTGACCTATTTTATAATGAAGACAACATGGCAAGGACTTGAGAGTGCTCTACAGTTGACAACAGATGAAGTATTATGGATAAACTTAAAGGAACTGAATCCTAGCCAGATATGATATATTCCTGGAACTTTGTAAGGTGGGGATAGGAGTATTTAATTTATACACCAGTCTGGGCAGCTCAGTGAGACACTGTTTCAAAATAAAATATAACATAAACCATAAAGTAAAAGAAAACCACAACAACATTAAACATCAACCAGGCATGGTAGCATAGGCCTATAATTCTATCAAGAAGCTGAGGAAGGACAATCACTATGAGTTTGTGCTACATAGTAAGACCCTATCTAAAAAAACAAAAACAAAAACAAAAAATTTAAATAAAAAAGATTGGAGATGTAACTCAGAGCTAACGCTTCCCCAACAATCCCCAAAACCACACACAACAAAAGAAGAAAAAGGAAAGAAGGAAAATAATTCTTAATAGTCACCCTAATAAGTTTACATAGTCACGGTTAGTCAATTCTTCAGACATCAACCACAGGCAAACCTTAGAAGGACTGGGGATATAGTTAGTGGCAGAGTACCTACCTAGTAAGGTACACTAAGTTCAATTTCTGGAACAAAATAGAACAAAACAAAATACTTTCATATAGTGTTAGCGGAGATCTAGAACCAGAGCAAACAACAAAGCTATGTTATTCACCAGCTGAAACTATGATTAAAAATTGCTATTTCAGCCATTATAATAGAGACAACATGATCCACAGCTATTACTAACCCAGCAACTCTCAATCATTTACAAAAATTTTATTAGTAAATGTTTACAGTTCACACAGTTTATACTCATCTTCTGGAATGTTATATGAACATCTCCTTTATTTTTTTTTAAATCCCCTCTGCTTCATTCACTCCCTCTTCCTCCAGCTTCTCTATTCCATTTTTTATTCTTGCAGTTTATGATATGACATGTTTACTGTTGTACTCTAAGAAAATACCTTGATTATTTTGTGTATTATAGCAAACCTGCAACGTGGCTTACTAAATGTGTTTTTTTATCCTTTTTCCCTAACTGATATGTTAAGTGACCTAATTGATATGTTGAGCAATACTCTCCTCTGTAAAGAATTGCAAGAATCTCACCTAATTGATATGTTAACCATTGTTGCCCTCTACAAACTACGGAAGTTGTGCTAAAACAAGCTAACAAGGGTTGTCAATCACTGTTAGGTGCCTCTATTCTCCAGTAAAGAGCTAAAGAAAACTAGGATGGCCCACTAATTTACACTTGTTTGAAGTAATCTGCTTGTGTGCAGAGAGATTTGCGTATGAGTTTAACCCTTTACCTGACCTTGACATATAATCGCCGTTTTCTGTTCTGTATGGCGCCTTATTGCCTCCCTCTCCCCTCACCTATCTATCTAGGCCATAAAGAATTTGGGTTTCTGGTGACCTCTTCCCGACCCGGTGATGATCTGTCATAAAATGAGCCTGCCCCAATTTTAAGAACTGTTTAGCTTCAAAGAAATTACTGGGAAATACTATGGCCCAAACCCCAATCGGTGCTTTCTTTTGTTCTGTATGCATCAAATGAGTTAGATATCAGATCTTTGTAAAACTTAAGTTTCAGCTTCTTGTAACTCTTGACCCATTCGCACCCACTAGCGAAAACGAGCTGTCCTGGGATAATTAACTTCCCCACTTTCTTCTCCAAATATTGCTGCAGATGTGCCACTCTGAGATAATGTCAGTCTGTAGGATGGGAGTAATCTGAAAAACACCAGGAACTCCCGAGATTGTCAGAGCTAGGTGGACAGCAATACAGTTTCCAGACTCGGGTCAACAAGTTTGATGGCTCTGCAGGTTTCTTTGCTCTCCCCCTCCCCCCTTTTCCTCCAGCCTCTTTTTAAAGTCCTCCCTTCAGTCTCTGAGACACAGTCTCCAAATTGGCTCCCGGAGACTCATCACCAGGCCTGAAAATAAAGCCTTTGCTACCTAAATTTTCAGTCTCTTGCTTCCTTGGATTTTATATCAGGGCCCAAGTTATAACATTTACACTAACCGAGGTCACATTCCTGTACATGGTATATCTTTCTTACTCAAACTTCCCCTTCTTTTCATATCTTCGACTATTTCCCTTAAACTACTTCTCTACTGCAAGAGATCCATCTGCTTGTCCCCTCTATCCATTCTGTTATTCTCTTTATACTCTCTTACTCAAATGATAGACAGTACATAGTGTTTAAATTTGTGTGTTAGGTTAATTTCACTCAACATTATATTTTTCCAGGTGTATCCATTTTCCTACAAATGTTTCAAATCTATTACTCCTTAAACAAAGTAGTACTCCATTACATAAGACACATTTTCTTTATTCAGTCATCTCTTGATCTGTACACAGGTTGTTTACAGGATTTAGCTATTATGAGTTGTGCTCCTATAAACATTGGCACACACACACTGCTACCTTGTGAGGTTTTAAGCTCTTTGAGGAAAGTGCCTTGCAGGGGGAGCAATTGGTCATGTGGAATTACTAATTTCAGTTCCTTTTTAACACTGCAATAGTGGCTGGGGATTTTCCCAGTAGCGTTAAGTGTCTGCTTGGCAAGCACAAGGTTGTGAGTTCAATCCCCATTACATAAAAAAAAAAAAAAAAACATCTAATACTGATTTCCCTAATGGCTGTAATAGTTCACATTTCCACCAACAATAAAAGATGTTTCCTTTTTCACCACACCCTGACAAATACTCTTTACATTTTTTTTTTTTTTTTTTTTTTGTATCAGTACTCAAATTCAGCTCCAGGGAGGAGCTACACCACTGAGCTCTATCTCCAGTCCTATTTTATTCATTTTAACCATTGCTCTCAGTTAAGTTAACAGAATCAGTAAAGCTAATGTCACAGATTCACCATACCTTAATAGTTCCTTTTGGCTACATTATGATATTAGTAGAATACTTTCTCTCTCTCTCTCTACCTTTTGAGACAAGGTTTCACTATGCAATATAGGCTGGCCTTGACCTCACTTTGTAGCTTTGTAGCCTAAGGTGGCCTCCAACTCAAAGCAATCCTACTACTTCAGTCTCCCAAATGATAGAATATAGGCATACACCACCATGCTGGGCTAGAATCAATCATATTTTCAATTTTTTTCTTTCATCCTGTAAGATCAATCAACTTAAAATATCTATACAAAACACCCCAACACAAATACATTCACAGTCTCAAAACCAACTATATCACCTAAAGTAAAACAAAAAGACTCTCTTATCACCTAGTAAGCTAAGTTTAAATTCTGAAAAAACATACAGGGGCCTTGAAGCTGTCAACATATAAAACATAATATATAAAAGTACACATTGTGAATGCATCTTAGACAAGGACAAATTAACATTTTAGGAAAAAATATATCCTTTTTTTTTTTTAAGTTACCCAGAACTTTTAATTTGAAACAAAACAAGAACCCCTATAAGACAAAGAAACACTTCTAAGTATAACTAAATTCTTGTACAGAATTTACAGATTTTCTGCTGTTTTTATATAGGTATAAACATATAATCACCTCATTTCTCAGGACAGTGCCAATTTAAAATGCAGAAGCCAAAGTTTCAAGTATGAAAAGCAATATAAACAATAGCGCTTAAAAAAAGTTTAGTCCTAAAGTGAATTATCCTTACCAGCCAATGAAAATGAAAAGCAACTGACACTAATAAAGGTTCCATTTCATATCTACTCTATTAGAATCTTTTCATGTACTCTAAAGGTCAAATAGTTTCTCAGACACTGGAGTAAAATCAATCAATCGCAATTATATAATAAGTTGACAGAATTTTTAAAATTTTGCTATCAAATAATATATACATATATATAGAAAGTAAACTTAAGTTTAAAGAAGTAAGCTTAGTCTAGCACAAAAATATTTAAAAGACTTAGATTAGATGTAAAAATTTGCATCAAAACTGATTACTTTTTATAGCTTAAATGGTTATCACTTTATATTTAAAGTAAAAATAAAAACAATAAATGTATACACACACATAATATGCAGTAAACTTTGCATTTTTCTTCTGGAATTAATTATGATTTTGGTCTTTACATTAGTTTTAGTCTTCTTTTTTATTTCCCAAAACTGTGTGAAGGTTCACATGCCAAATCAAGAACTCTCACACGCAGACAGCACAACCTTTTGCCCCTCATTTACAAAGCATTAGTGCCCAGATTTCAACAAACCTCACTAAAATGCTCTACGAAATGGAAAACACCATAGAAACCATGATGTGTTTCACAGATTTCCTAGGGACATAGAAAAAGGAGTTCCCTGTATTTTTGGAAAATCAAGAGGATACTCTGGCTGTGGACAAAATCATAAAGGACCTGGACCCATGTCAAGATGGCAAAGTGGGCTTTGCAGAGCTTTTTTGCAAAAGTTGTAGGCCTTTCATCACTGTATACATGAAGCAGAAAGGATAGAAATAGACAAGACATAAACATTTACTTTTGCCCTGATAAGAGTTCAACAAAATGTAGTATAACCATACAATAAATATTCGGCATAAAGAGGTACGGTATTGATCCACACTGCAATATGAATGAATTTCAAAATATTTACATGAAAGTTAGGTAAAAAGGCTAAGTATTTTAAGTTTCAAAAGAACCATTCAAAACTGATATAAATGATAAATTAAAGCTTGTTTAGGTAAGAATATGAAATCAAGCAGTAACAACAAAGGAGTGAAGACATCTGGCTCAAGTGATAAAAATTCTAGATTGAGGTGATTTTTCTAGAAACTTACAAATTTATTAAAATTCAGAGTTGTACATGTCAAAGAAATAAATTATATATGTAAATTCTATCTCAATAATGTTAACTTAGCACCTAACGAAACAAGCTTATTATCCAAAATTTAAAGTATGAATTTTACCTTAAGGCATCTAATTTTTTAAAAAAAGCATCTCAAGAGCCAGTTAAAAAACATCCACAATAAATCCTTTACCAGTTCTAGAATAAACTTTTAAAAAGTCAACAAAAACTGATACCAAATGATATCAAAAACTCTTAAAATTACTTATTTAGGAGCTGGATTTGCCATATTCTTGGTATTATGTAACAGTTGTTGAAATTTTCTCTAAGTTTAGAAGAAATACTAGATCTTTCTGAGGCAAACAACAACAATAAATGAGGATGAAATAGGAATTATGGAAATGTTGCATTAAAAAATGTTAACAGTTAAACTAAGAATCTTATTTTTTTAAGTCAGTGAAAAAAAACTACTGGGTCCTCACCCTTTTAACACCAACTGGAAATACTTCAGATTTTCACTGTCTCCATACACTGTGGAAAAAGTTAACATATGAAAATTAAAACAGTAAGAATGAGCCTTAAACTGAACACAGTTCCCATTTTACAAATTTCTTTAAATATTTTATGTATTTGCAGGTACTAAAACACTGAATTTACAGTCCAAGAAAATGGTATAATTTTTTTCTAAAAGTTTTTTGTAGGTCATGGTTTGATTATTAAACTAGCTGCCTTAATCAGTACATGTACTACTTACTACTACTGAGAACCAAAAGACTTTATTAGTTTCTTGGTCACAGTATGGATTAGAAAATAAATGACTTTTCCTACAAGAGAATATTCGTTAAAATTATATATATATATATATATATATATATATATATATATATGCCAAATCAGGTGTATTAAACCTGTAATCCTAGCTGACTTGAAACTCAGGTAAAAGGATTTTGCTAATTGATTAGGCTATGTCAAATTTAAAAACAGTAAGGGATGAAAATGAAAGTCAGCCTTATACTCTATCTCCCTACAGTAAATGAGTTAAACAAAATTAAAAACTGATTAACTATCATTTATAAGTGTTTAAATTCAGTAATGTCTGAAAACATTACACAAACACCTATAAGTGACACAATAAAACATGTTATTCTGTAATGGAATTCTGCCACTAATCCACTACAAATGATCATCACTTTTTTAACACCAAAATAAATATATAATATACACAACTTTGGAAAGTATATTTTACTCGATTTATAAAACATATGCTTCACGCTAATAATTTAAAATGTTAATTTTTCACAAAATTATTTATGAAATATAAATAAAAATCACAAAAATCGTTTTATCACTAACATGAAAAGATTTAGTTTGGAAAGAGTTCTTTAAAATATCTTTCACTTTTATCATTTCTTCGCCTCCCAAGAACAAACCATGCCTCACTTCAGAAGGCAGACCAGGAGTCCTGCATGATAACAGAAACAGCGAAGAGTTCCATGCCAAACCGATTCACCTCAGCGATAGCGTTGGGGACCAAGTAACTCTGGTCTGCGGAAGATCCGCAACCCCGAGCTAACCACACCTGGCGCTGACTCAGGCTTCAGTCAACAGACTTGACCGAGACAAGACTCCAGACACTCTACGCTCTTATGATACAACAGAAAAGGGGGCGGGGCGGGGGCCCTTAGACGCCATATTTTCTTACATGCCAAAATACCCAACCGTTGCGATGTCCGCCCAGCCTAAACGTTCCCGCTAGGCTACCAGACAGAAAGGCGCAGATAGAACACCCAACAACGAATAATGGCTGCTGCCAAATTTGCTAGGCACTTTGCTCCTCACAAAAGTGACCGCCAGCCCTAAACACCTCGCCTTCCTTAGTAGGCGGCGACCCTTTTACCTCTTCTCGTCGAAGCCGGGGCTCTAATCTAGATGGCGCGTTTTGTTTGCGTCACCTCTGACTAGTCCAGCACCTACTGTTTTACTTTCTCTTGTTCTAGACCCAGCGTTTTCGCTGAGTTACTTAGCTCTCAGCATCTACACCAGCACCTATGGACTGAGACTGCTACCTCCCGTGATTCAAGTTGTTAGCTCCTCGAGTCCCACAGAGACTCAGACCAATTGAGCCTCAAAAGCGGTTGCGGCTCACACAAAACGCTCTTTATTATGGCGGAGCTACTAAACTCCGGAGAAACACAGAAAGACAAAAAGAAAGGCAGGAAAGGCACACAGACACGGAGACACGCAGGCAAAACAAAAACCCACGACAAACCTTTCAGTAGTTGTAGCGCGCAGACTCCCTCCGCAGTGCGCCGCCTAGAGCTCATAGAAATTTAAGAACCAGAAAGCCCTACTCCACCCCCTACCTCCCATTTCATATGTCTCGCTTCGGAGGGTCTTTCCGGTCTCCCCTCCCTTCCCCTATATACTACGCTTGTTAGATCCAAAAGTCCTGGAGCTCCTTCTTTAGTGAAATGTACAAATTTAGGAAGAACTAAAATAGGGGGTGAGGAGCTCCTTTCTTCACCTCTTCCTCTCTGTCATTTTCTTTGCTCTTTTTTGCTTTGGGAACATGCAGCAGTTTTCAGGTGGAACGTTTTTAGGATAGAAGATACTGAAAAAAGATGGGCTTTGTTGAAGAGATACTCAGATGGCTTACTGAATGATTGGCAGCCTGCAGTTCTTCAGAATGCTACAGTTTGGGCCCAATGCTTTCGCTTTTCGAGAGAAGGGTGAAACTAGGTGATGGTGGTGCATGATCCAGGACTAGCTATCTGTCCTGACAAGCAGATGAAAAACTCATTTCCTTCAAGACCCTTAGTTTATTAATCTAACACATGTATTTTCATGTTGAAACAATCGTATTTCTGGAATAAATCCTACTTGGCCATACATTTGTTTTGTGTGCTGAATACATACATTAGTATTTCTCATTTGTTTGTACCTAGCAGGACAATTGGCTATATTAAAAGACAAAGTCACAATTTTACTTTTATATATAATCTACTTATATGTGAGTCATGAAAATTAGCACCCTCCATTTACACAATAGAATGAAAGCACCCACTTAGCAATAACTGGCTAGTATTACCAAGTAATCTGTAGTTGTAATTTGAAGGGTAGATGAGAGAACAATAGAACAAAAACTGACCAGTTAACACCAGGGTATGAAAGGGATTTTTGTTTTATATAATGGTGTAAGGAAAGGGTTTTTTTAATTACAAATGCTGACAAAAGTACATTGGAATATATTGTTTTCAGGATAAATTGGCCTATTTGAGATTCATCTTATTAAACATTGTTTTAGTATTGTAGATTGGTGTTCCAACCAAAAATAATTTCTTGTGATGTTCACATAAGTTTGCTAAAGATTAAAATGTTATTTAACACAGCATTTATCTTCCTATTAAGATATGTGTTGCCATCAAATGTGGGTCTTTTTGACTTTCCACGAATAAAATATTTATATAGAATACATTAACTTTCCAAAATCAAGAAACAGAAATAAATGAAATATGCTAGTCTTTTAATCTCTTTTAAATTTCATGTTGAGGTTCACATCTTTCTCAAAACAATCGTAACTAAAATCTCTGAATCCTATTTGTGCCTTCTATTCCTTGTCTTTCCTCTGAAGACTATTGATATGTGATATTTAAACATAGCCACTTTTTTCTTTGTTTTTGGAGAATATTTTATTGAAGTATAACACATTGCAACTGCAAGTGGAAACACTGAAATGACACCTAGAATTGGGAGATAGATTTATTGTCTTTTTTTTTTCAATTTGGTAAACATTTATTTGAATCTCTACACGAAATTGACATATATGGGCCCCTTGTTCATTAAAAGCTTAGGTCTCAAGCTTTATATCTATTAACAAATGTTCCTTGAAAATAACTGACGCTTTTGAAGCCCCCATAAAAAGAAAAATCAGTGCAGGGAAAGCATCATCTATATTTTGAAGCTAGATCCCCTATTTTTAAATTGGCAAATCCAGAATTTGAAAGTTAAAATTGCAATTTCTTCTGTATTTCTTCCATACTCAGAGGATTGAAATGTGATCATTACAGAAGAGTATAACAGAGTATAATAGCATAACAGATGCCAACAGACTTATGGCTAATATTTTCCCCTACATGGCTATAGAGTTCAAAACATTCTAAAGTACGTACTAAATGACCACTTTATCTTAGCTTCTCACACTAGCATTTATCATTAGTTTACAAGCCTTAAGGTAAGTTTACTTACCTAATATTCATTCAATATCCATGAGCTTTGAAACATACCAGTATAAACATTATGGCTGATCACTATGCAACAAATTCACAATTCCATGAAGTCAAATAATTAAACCAGAAGTTTGAACACTTTATGTAAACATACTTGATACTATGGAGATGAGTAATTTTGTTCATGCTAAGCTAAATTTATTTCCAAGAGAAACCTCGTGCACTAGATTTATTTTTTTAAGAATGTGACAGTTTGGGGCTGGGGATTTAGCTCAGCGGCATAAGCACCTGCCTTGCAAGCAGGCGGTCGTGAATTCGATCCCTGGTACCAATAAAAAGAAAAAAAAAAGAATGTGACAGTTTCAAAACATTCTTTTATGGGGCTGGGGATTTAGCTCAGGGGCATAAACACCTGCAAGTGTGTGGTCATGAGTTTGATCCCTGATACCAATAAAAAAACCAAAAAGACAAAAAAAATTTTTTAATTATTTTAGAAGCATCAATTGTACAAATGGGAATTCTGGGTTCAATTTGAAAAAAGTTCTAGTTGAGCCCCATCTTTTAAACATATAATCAAGACATAGGGTTATCTGATTTTAAGTGTATATTTGTCAAACTCCAAAAAACCAATCACTTCAAACCAGCAGAATACTGCATTACCCCAGTAAACCTGTAGTTCTCATTACATGCACCAAAAAGATTTACAGGACTAATTTTAGCACTTCTCTGTTAAGGAATTTATTTTATACTTATTATATCACAGCATGTTTCAAACATATAACTTCCTAGTAAGACAAAACAAAGACAAAAAAAGCTTATCTTCTTAGGAACAAGGATACATCATCACTTGTAGTCTTCAAACACTATTGTACTTTAACTTCCATTTGACAAAATATTCATGAAATAATCAGTAGAGTGCTTAACAGACAAATAACACCTTTAAGCACACAAGACTGGCCTAAATTTTTTATTGGGTTACAAATTTTACAAACATCACTTATATTAGCTGTACTGTGGAGCTAAAGAGTGTTGCACATTCTCCAAGCAGCATGGTGAGAACCACCACTAATGTGGTGAATCTTGTTGAACTTTCCAAAGTCACTACTCTTGCCACCTGCAAATGTCAGCCCACACATCTCCTTGTGCCTATAGACTGCTTTGGTAATCCACTGGGTGTCAGGATTTCTTTTAATGGCTTTGTGGAATGGATTAATCCGGATAACCTCAAAGAATTTGTATATGGCATCTTCAGCAACCCAGTAAGAATTAAGAACCCTCCAAGTACCACAGTGGTGTCCAGTTCACTTTTCAGCAACATATTAAATGCTGCGTGCAAATTTTAGCTGGCTAACACCATGATGGATAGGCTTGCTGTAAGTCGCTCCCTTAGGAACTGGACGTTTGTGGCCACCTGGAGGCACACAAATCCTGTATATGACATCACCTCGTTTGGCTTTGTATTCAAGTTTGCAAGCTTTATCTGGCAGGATGGGGTTGTCGATAGGACTGAGAGCCCTGGGGAGCACAGAATGCCAGCAGTACTGGCAGCAGCGTACCCTCAGAAGAAAGTGTATCACACTTGACTGCTTCTTCCTCCATAGTTCCTGGATGTACTTGTATGCACCCATCTTGACTTACCTGACTGCTGCCCCCAGGGGAAAAGATAATGAAGATTTATTTTTATCAATGGATATTTATTGGAATCATTCCCAAAATATTAGACCCTGACTATTGGTGACCTATCCTTAAATAGGATACACTAGCAGGCAGTACTGAAGAAGAATGCCTTGTCAGTTGGGGATTGGTTCTTATAATATGCATCATAGTGACCAGTTATCCATTATAGTGACAAGTCATTTCTATAGAATAGAAACGATGGAAACTATAATAGGAACTATTACCTGGGCAACCAAGGAACTGAAGTATGCTTGATCAGAGTTATTTCCTCTAAACTTTACAATTCAACTTTAAATAATCATGACCAGTTCAAATAAATACTATTGGTGCAAGGATTTTATTTCCCTTTACTTAAAAGCTACTGGATTATATTATTATTTAGTAGTTACTGATATGATGTTTGGGACAAACATCAAGTATTCACAGCAAAACAAGTATGAGCATTATATTTACAGAAATCTTTTGCTTTGTAACTTACTAAAGTAATGCAAACAAGAAATATGTCTATAACCCCACTTGTAATGTTACATTTCATTACATCTAAGGAACACTGACCTTGGGAAAAATAATTTTATAAGAATGCATTGTGTGCTGGGAGTCAAGAAATGCCATTTCCTTATCTCATAAGATTATTAGTAAATGACATAAAGAGTTGTTAATATGCTACATTATTGGCATCCCCAGTAAAACATAATAGAGGGCACTCAAGATTCATGAAAAACTGTTTCACCAAATACTGACCCATTATTAGAGGTAGCAATGGATTAATTGTACCAGATTTTACATATACACCCAGCATATGAATTTAAATATCTTTTTTCGTAAACATTCTTGAGAACTTTATTTATGTAGTAGTCACATTATTCAAAATAGTTAATGTATATTTGAAGAATTGTTAGATTGAAAGTTTTAAGAATAAACTCTGAACAAGAAAGTTTTAGTCCATAGCTTTTGGTAACCAGCTTAGAACCTATACACAGAATGTTTTGTTTTGTTTTTTGTCTTTTTCGTTTTTACCGGTACCAGGGATTGAACTCACGACTGCCTGCTTGCAAGGCAGGCACTTATGCCACTGAGCTAAATGCCCAGCCCTTTTCTTTTTCTTTTTTTCTTTTTGTTTTTTCACAGAATGTATTTTTAAATATATATGTTTCTTCCTAATTGTTTTATTTTAAAGAGAAAGAACCCAGAAAAATCAAGATACAAATAATTTTTTAAAAAAACAACAAAAACAAAATGATGATCATGAGAACCACAACAAAAAAACAATGGCAGGAGACTGGGTGACCTGGGGTGAGTGCCCCCATACCATCCCAAGCCCCAGGAAGGAGTTTAAGATCATAGTTCCCCTGGCCAGGGAACTTTGTGGCTTCCTGCCTCATGCACTGGCTCAGCAAGGCTTGAGCCTGCCTGCCCCACCAGCAGTGATCCACTCTAATCCTGGGAACTCGGCAGCCAGAATCCGAGAAGCTGAGAGCATGGAAGAGGATTTCCAACAGCCCCCGGGGAAGCCTTGGAATAACACTTGAAAAATGGAAATATAGGAAAATGACAAAATGAAAGACTAAAATGTAATCCAAAGACTCCAGCCCATCCCAAGAAAGCTAGAAGAAAATATATGCCATACAGCTGAAATAGCTGAAATAACAGCAACTGAAATAAAGAGGCAACTATGGGAAGCTTTAATGGAATTCAAACTAGTAATAATTTCCCAGGTAAAAGAAGAAATGATAAAAGAAATGAGATGCTGAACATATTGAAAGAGACACAGTTAAAAAACTGGATGAACTAAACAAAAGATAGAATCCTTGGATGAACAATATAAGAAACAAACAGAATACATGAATCAGATGCAAAGAGATATACAGGAAATCAAAACTTCCAACAATAGTTGCAAAAACTGCCTCAATGAAAGTGAAGATAGAATTTCAGACCTCAAGGAGAAGATTGCCCTGAGTGAAGAGGAAAGGAAAGATCTTTTAAAAATAACAAGGAATCGGGGCTGGGGATTTAGCTCAGTGGCATAAGCACCTGCCTTGCAAGCAGGCAGCCGTGAGTTCGATCCCTGGTACCGATAAAAACGAAAAAGACCAAAAAACAAAAAAAAAAAAAAAAAAAAAAAAAGGAATTAGGAAATAACAATTCAACAGCTGAAATATGATGCAAAGGAAAACAACATAAGATTAATAGGGATAAATGAAAAAGAAAGAGACAACATAAAGGATGTTAAGAGGATATTTAGAGAAGTAATAGCTGAAAATTTCCCAAGCATGAGAATGGAAACTGACATCAGGATCAGTGAAGGATTCAGAACTCCAAATAGACTTCCGGGAGAACATGGCAGACAGATAGCAGCAGCTACGGAGGCTCTCTGAGAGACCCAGCTTAGAATTCAGGAATGGTGTGGAGTGAGGAATCATAAGCAAGGGGAGATATGCCCTGCTGACCCAAGGATGAACTGGACTGAGAGAAACCAACTGGGAATGCAATCCTGGTGCTATAATGGGAACATAAAAGCCTCAGTGTGGAAGCTGGAGCCCACGCCATTGAAAGCCATGATTTGGGTCTCCCGCTGCTGCCACTGCATCTACATCCTCTCAGCAGGGAGAAAGATGAGTGAAAGCTCTGAGAACGGGAATCTGTGAACGGAGTTGAAAGCAGGACGGGTGGGGAGCTGTGCATTGACCTGCGGTAAGTGAGAGACACTGGGACTCTTCCACGGTCTAAGAGACTCCAACAGAGGACATTCTGGGACCGGGCAGACTTGCAGGAACAGGGCGCTGCAGTGACTTCAGTCACATATCCCCCTCTCAAGCAGGATTGGTGAGCAGTGCCTAGCCTATGTGACGCTGCTGGCTGAGACCCAATAGGCTAGCATAACCCAGGTCCCAGCGCCTGAAGGTAGATTGACCTGGAGGGGCAGGCCCCGCATAGGCTGCCTGGTCTGCAACTTCCTGGTATGTGGCGGTGGGTGGGAACACATAGCCAGCGCAATTCAATCAGACTGTGGCAGACAGGGAAGGAAGCTGGGCCTCCTATATACGCTTGCATATATAAGGAACAAAGAATATGGGAAGAGGCAGCAACAAGAAAGGCTCCTTGGCCCCCAGTCCTGAGAAAGAGGCAATAGCAGACACAGCACCAATAGATATAAAGCGCTATCTCTAGAGCCTCATAGACAAGTTCAGGAATGAAATTATTAATGACTTGAAGCTAGACATAAGCAGAATAGTTAGAGAAATGCTAAGCACCACCCAAGAAAAACCAGATGGTGGAATGGAAGAACAGAAAAAGAGGGGAGAATTGTTTAATGCAGAAAATAGAGAAAGCATAGAATACATGAAGCAGGTTCAAAGAGATTACCAGGAAACTAAAAGCTCTATCAAAAACTGGCATAACAGCTTGAAAGAAACTAAGGACAGATTATCTGAACTGGAGAGCAGATTTGTAATATGGGAGCATGAAACGAAAAACTTCTTTAACATAACAAGGAAACAAACAGCAATAACACAAAGACTAGAAGATGATAAGGGGATCTGTAACTTAAGAATTAAGAACATAAAAGAAGAAGTAGGGACACAAACAAATGAACTACAAAAGCTACTCACAGAAATAATCCAGGAGAATTTTCCTAATTTAGCAAAAGGTAAAGATACTCAGTTGTATGAAGCACACAGGACCCCAGCCACCTACAACCCAAACAGAGCAACATCCAGGCATATAATAATTAAAATTCCAGAAATCCAATACAAGAACAGAATATTACAAGCCCTCAGAGACAAGAAACAGATCACTTACAAGGGAACACCCATCAGAATTACAGCAGACTTCTCGGCACAAACCATCAAGTCATGAAGAGCATGGGGGGAAATAATTCAAGCTTTCACTCAGAGCTTTCACTTGTCTTCAAAGATAATAATCTCCAGCCAAGATTGATATATCCTGCACAACTATCCCTGGAAATTGATGGAAAAACAAGGTGCTTCCAGGATAAAGAGGAACTAGGGGAATATGCAACCACCAATCCAACTCTACAGAGAGTACGGCAGGATATTCTAAAAAAGAAAAATACGAAGAATCCAGAAATAGTGGCAGAGAGGCCACAATGAATGGAGCAGAAAACAAAATGAAGAAGACAAATTGACAACAAAATGACAGAAAAAGAGCTCAACAGAAATGAGGCAGAGAAGATTGGATGATAAGAACAGCTATTTTGGAGAAAATGATGTCTTAAGAGGTAATACTGATTTAGTATCATCTTGTTTTGAAGTCTCATCAAGCTTTTGTTATTCTGTCTCCATTGGTCTAAACAGGTTGTATCTTATTGGATTTTATTATATGGTTTTGCCAGTTTTGTTCTTAACTGTTTTGTTCAATTTTAGTATAACTGATGATAGACACAATTCTATTAGAGATAGCAGGAGACATTACGGTAACCATTGTTGATCACCTAGTATTCTGTTTTTACATTATCTATTATGTCCACCCTTTTGATTTGACTGACTCTGTTCTGTTATGTCACATTTGGTTCTACTCTCTTCCCAAAAAGTAATAAGAACTGTGGGAGCAACAAAACCCAAATGTGTAATTGTCATTGTACAAAAGAGAGGAAAAGAAAGTGCTCTAAATGATATAACTGCATGTATATTTAAGTGTATAAGATAGATAATATTACTGAGTTTTGTTGGATCATTGAACAGAACTGTTTGCAGTCTCACTGTTGGAATGTCCACTTTATAAGCTTTAATTTTGTAACTTGAACAACTGTTTCTAAGATGACAATATGTAATCCATTAACTAGTGAATTCCTACTGTTTATTTTTTTCTGTAAATCTGTATAACTTGTACCCTTTCTCTGCTTTTCTTCTTTTTCTCCTTAAATAAAATTTAAAAAAACAGAACTCCAAATAGCAATAACCAAAATAAAACTACACCCAGAAATCAAAAATAAAAATAGAATATTAAAAGCTGTCAGAAAAGACAGATCACCTATAAAGGAAAATCTATCAGAACCACAGCAGCCTTCTCAGCACAAACAATGAAGTCAAGAAGAGCATGGAGTGAAGT